TTACGAATGAAATGTTATTAATTGTATTTATGTAGTGTTGCTGAAAATATTAAAAAATTTAATTATGGTACGGAACCGAACGGAACCGAACCGACCCGAACCGAACCGAACGGAACCGAACCCGAACGGTTCCATAATTATATTTGGACCCGACGGGTCCATTTATTAAATACCCGAAAGTTTTGGGTCAGTTCGGGTCTCTTCAGAACCGAACCGACCCGACCCACGGACAGCCCTAGAAGGATTTGTTCCAGTCTCCTTCACGTTATTCGTTTTTAATCATGTAAAAACGACAAGGCATTAATAATGTATCAATGTCCCTTAATTCTCCTTTCTATGTTGTACACATTCATCTGTCTATTTTAAAAAGACAAGTCATACAGTATAACCGTATTTTTTTTTTCATTTTCATTCTTCTCCTTGCCTTACAGAGAGAATTTATATAAATTGATGGCTCAACCAAATTCATCAAGATAGAAGCTAATTATGTTTGTAGTTATTTTACCACATTTATGCAAATCATCCATACTTTAGCATTTAGAAACACCACGCTTAAACTTAGGCTTGGATCCTAATTCAATTCTCATTGTCATTTGATACCAGTTGTATGGCTGTCGCTAAATAATTTTCATTCATTTGGAAGACAGAAGGTGAGGAGTAGTGAAATTAAAAATAAAATTAAAGTTTAGTAACTCAATTTAAAGCTAATTTGAAGTTTAGCGACTCAATTGATATTTTGCTAAATATTTGGTAACAGCTGATATATTTACTCCAATTGATCAAATAGAGTTGCCAGGTTAAGTGGACTACAGGTAAGTACAATATAGTAGAAATGATTGATCTCCTACTCACCCATGATAGATAGGAGCTATCTTACCCATTGAGCGTGCGTTATCGTTGAGCAGCAACATCATGTCAACGGTTAAATCTACAATTTTTGACAATTCAATCGTTGAAATTGTTAAAAATTTTAGGCTTGACCGTTGACGTGATGTTGTCACCTCAATTATGAACATGTTTTATCTTACCTAACATGGATAGGGAATTGTCAAAAATTGTAGGCTTAACCGTTGATGTGATGTTGCCATCTCAAAACAGTTTTTTATCTCACCTAACAGATCATTTCTGTACAACGCAGTCATGTACAATGAAAATTAAAATTTCCATTTAAAAGAATATAAAATTTTATTTTTTAACTTATATTTCTTGTCTGTTCAAAATTACCCTGACCTCGACTTTTCTCTCTCGCATAAACTCACAAACACAAGCAAACATAATATACAGACTTGAGAGTTGAAACTACACTTGCAATCTACAAAACCCAATCACAAACATCTGTGTGTTTTGCCCATTTATGGTGTGCTGATGGGACGCTTGTTCCATCAGGAAATGGTCA